TTTTTATCTACAATAAGTAATCAAAATAAAACTGCCTTATCTTTTTGTTTTATCTGTGTTACATGTAGAACTATAGTAGCTTTTTTAAATATTTCATGATATCAGAATAGATCAGATCTTTAAACATGAAAAACACTATATTGCATCTGATAATTATGAAAGGCTACCAAGTCCATAATTAGTGAACAACTGGAACTCCTGACGTTTTCTAGTTAAGGCTTTTAAGACATGATTGTGTGTAATTTCCTTTGGAGGAACAAGAGGTGGACTATCAGAGGTCTCCTCTGAACTATCTCCCCAGGCCTCACTGTGGGAAGACCGCAGTAGATCCTCCATTAAGTTTAACATTGCCTGAAAACCAAATACCATGGAAATATCAAGTTAGACAGTAAAATTCCCTAAACAAATTTTACCACAGATACTGCTATCACTGCTATGAAATTGTTTATTTTTAGGATGCATTACTGTTTTACATTTTTTTTCCAACTCTAAATATTATTTACAAAGAAAATTTAAAAATACCTAAATTTCCACAGCTTTTATCATATGAATGAATAGTATATAAATCTGATCTAATATTACATTAATGCTCTTCAAAACCAAATGATAGACCATACAAACCTTCCACATAGTTGCACGTGCAACATCTGCTCTATATCCAGGTAAGACCTCTTCTGAAGTCTGATTAATTCTTAACTGTGAAGCTAAATGTCCAACCCATTCGCATCCATCTACTGTTTCTTGATCCTCCCAGGCCATGAAGACTGACTGCTCCTTCCGTGGAGAAGCTGAAAGGATAATATTCAATTTTTAAATGAAAACAAGATATGAAAATCAGGCATGAAACTGTTCATTTGAAAACTTTATTACAATTATACCTGAAGACTTATGAGGAGATCTGAGCTCTTCCTCCTCCTCAGTTAATGAGACTACATCAATATCTTGGTGTGCAGAACATCCAAACTGTTGCTCGCTGTTACTTCCTTCTCGTTCCTCTAGATTTCCAATGTCTGTAATTGTGCTAAAGACCTGCTGTTCTGATGGTAAAAAAAGTTTATCTGGAAATAAAAAATTAATATACATATTAATATTTGTAACATATGAATATCTAACAAGAGAAACAAAATATACACAAATCAAATCTCAGTGTTTTTTATTTATGTCATTTCACACTTGGAATGCACTATGAAATAAATGCAAACCTGTTTGAAGTAGAGGTCGAGGTTCTACTGGAGTATATGCCTGACACCTTGCCCATGCAACTATTCTGTTTGTGGTCCACCAATTGCTGCCTTCTAAACCACACTCACTTATATACCTTCGAACTTCCCTAGCCCTCTGAAACTAAAGGAAAACACACAATATTATCTGATGTGCCTGAAGACTTTGATCAAGGAAGAAACAATAAGATGAGGGGCAAATAAAAAAAATAAAAAAATAAAGGTCAAAGAACATGGTAAATTATAAGAAACAACTTATCATCAATATACTGTACATAATTGCTTTGAAATAAAAGAAAGCAATCACTACAATTATGAATGAATTTTGTATCCTAAATCAAAGATACAAAATTCATGTATATTTTGTACAGGAAAATGTATTGGCCATCTGGCCAAGCATGGGCTCCCATGGTCAAAATCAAGTTAAACAGAGTTTCATTTTCATCCATGAACAGGAAGAAAAAGAACAAATAAGTTTCCACTGCAGGGTACCTGGGGGAGTATCGTAAGCATCTGTTCCAAAATTTTCACTCATTTTCATATATGTTCATTCTCAAGGACCCTACAGCCTTTTTATCACAACATATATTCCTTTGACTTAGAATATCAAAGGAATATCAAAGGAATATAAAGAAAAAAGATAAACAAGTAAGATCTGGTAGGACTATTAAATGACTCCTTCATGATTAATCTCTTGTGGAGTCACATTTATGTGTAAGCAAAAGTAATTGACTAAAATCACAGTGGATATTGCATGTATGTACATGCCATCCTTAGCTTCAATGAGTTAATGACACTCTACCTTCATCTTATCCTCTTACCATAAACATAAGCTAACATGATACAAAAATGACACCAACCTCTGCTGCTCTCTGCTTTCCAAGTGGCCAAAGCTTGAACTCTTCTACGGATCCTGCACAGAATGGCAAAATGCATTTACTTCTCCACTTGTTTGGGGGGGCCACAAGGGGTATGGCTCTTACCCATAGATTTATACATGCATCTAGAGATCTGCAGGCTTGACAAGTGGCCTTTAATTGTCTGCAACAAAAGAAAAAAAATAAATTGTGGCTTTATTTACTGCTTAAAATAATTATTACTTAGTAATATTAACCCCTTGGATCCAGGTGACGTGACCATCACATCCCAAAAATTTTGGCTTAACCCATTGCCGACGGGCAAGCCATGCCATGCCCACTGTGAGTTTACTTGTTTGATTGTTTTTGTACATAGATGGCTACACTTGTACTAAACGACCAATGAGTCAATTACGAGTACTGCCTATCTCGCCCGTTCACCCTTTTCTTTAATTTTCGAAAATATTTTACATTATCTTACTTTGCTATCACTAATGTTTATAACATTATAGTAATTATAATGTTTATAATAAAAATAATAATATCGATATTCATAGCACTAGTAAAAAATGCATTTTTCCGCCAATTCAAGGGAAGGTGAAATCAGGTAAGGCAGAGCCATCTATGTGTAGAGACATTTCACAAAAATTATAAAAAATGAGCACAGCTATTTTCCCAATTTTTTAATTCATTTTCCCTGGCAGCAATGGGTTAAGGGCTGGGTGTTGCGAATATGGAAAAATTTGGCTGAGGGTTAGGGTGACAGGAACAAGCTGTCACTAGAATTTTGGCTGAAGGCCAGGATGACAGGACTCGCCATAAGTGAATAAAACTCTTGGACAGTGATTAGACTCAGTAGGCATTTAGGAAGTGGCTCTTGCATTATTTCCATTATTAAAGGAGTGTGGGATATACCATCCATGAGCCATGGCTGGAAGAGTGCATGACCCAGAAAGGACACTATTTCCATGCTTATGTTATTCTTATTGCACCAAGTAATAGACTACCTACAGTCTAGTGCAAGGAGTCTGTGCAAGGAAAATTCTTGTTACCATCTTGTTGCAGCATATCAAATGACAAATATAGACATTGGAAAATGGCAAAAAACAAAAAACTGTTATGCAGAAAAAAGAGATAATAACATTGCAAAAGGGATGCAAAGAGTCTTGACACTGCATAGAAATGTTCATGTGCACACAGCCTACAAGCCACACACCTGGAAGAGTTGCCAATCAAGTAAGAATAATGCCCCAATTTTGGCCCACATGCAGGCAGTGAAGCACCTGGATCCATCATATCTCTCACACTATATGATATACATTTCACATACAAGTTTGTTACTACTTGGTATTTTTTTCCTTAAATGAACTGGTAACACTGTGAGAAGAGGTAGAGATGAAAGACATTAGAAATGATGGATGTTTATAATTTCCACTCTTACTAGTAAACAATTAAAGAAGTTAAGCAAAATCTTGCCTGGATATCCACGGGTCACTTCCAAATAAAGTATATAATTATGTGAAGACTGCCACCTGCTATGACAACAGCAGTTCTTTGCTAACTACTATTATATTTGTAGCCATCTACTTAACAGTTCAAGACACTCAGCTAACTAACTCCTAAATACCATATGACCAGCAGTTTTGACAAAATCCATACTTGGTAGCTATGTACTGTTGTGGCACAAAAAATAAAAAGATTAAGAACAGATGGTCAAGTTTCTTTACTAAATTTCCTTTTTATCCTCTGGGTGCCCATTTAACTTGCATATTAAATCTTGCACAACTACAAATTCTATATCAAATTAAGTGTAATTCCTTACCTTATCTGATCTTCCCATTTCTTTGTTGCATTGACTTCTTGGTCTTCACTTGAGTTTTCTGCAACTTTATCTGGTATGCCTACAACAGGAGGACTTATTATTTTTCCTGTATCACTCCCTGAAGTTTTTGCTGAAGAACTTTTTAGAGTTGTGGGAATACTTGTGACCTTCGTTGAGACATTGGTGAAAACTGGAGTAGTAGCTGTAACCCCTGCGGTGGTTGTGATACACAATGGCTTTAGCAAAGTTCGAACAGTTGCAGGCGTTACAGATGTAACAATATTACCACGAAGCAGTGACACACCTGTTACTGCTATATTTTTTACTGTACTTCCTGTTGAAGAAGTATTTGACAATGTACATAAGGTTCTATTGTTTCCAGCACTTCTTACTATGAGTGGTGGTAATTGAAGTGTTTTTCCACTCTGAGCTGAGCTACAAACAACAAGTGGAGGGTGCTGTGTGACTGTATTCTTTCCCTGGCTAGTAACTAATTGTAGACCTCCTGAACCAGTCAAGATGCGTCCACTTGGCATCACAACAACACTTGCTCCATCTTTAATAGCTGCTGTTGTACTGGTACTGGATGTTGCAAGAATACATTTGCTAGTGGGTAATTCTTGTGTCACAGTACTAGGTTTACTTGCAACAGGTAAGGTTATACTCTTTGCAAGCTGCCCTGCTGATATTAGCTGTCCATTATTGGTTACAAATCTTATATTAGCTGTAGATATTGCTTTCTTTACAATCTTTGCTGTTGAAGACCCTCCAGGCTGTTTATCCTGAACAATCTTGACTGGCATGAATTGCAAATTTGGCTTTTTAATTAATGATGACTGATCTGATAACAATTGACCCTCTGGAGGTTGTACTGATTGCACTAGTTCACCATTTACATCATTTGTTTTACTCAACAATTTTTTCACTAATGCAGGCTTCTTGTCCTTAAGTCCAGCTTTTACAAGAAGTTGCTGTAATGCATTTTGTGAAAGACTGCCAGCAGACACTCGGGCAACAGTCTGCTTACCCTGTGTTGTCAGAGTAAGTTTAGGAATACTCTGGCTACCACCAGATGGTAACTGGCCCATCACCACTTGACTAGGTTTGACTGATCCTTTATTTGGTGAGATATTGAAGATTTTAACAGGAACACCTGAACCTTTAGAACTCTCCTGTCCATTCTCACATTTTGGTTCACCTTCAACAGATTTCTTCTGCTGAGTAATGATATCTTTTGATTCTTTTTGCACTTTAACCAAATCTTCACTTTCAGGATTTGAGCTTGCTGGTTGCTGTGACCCTTTTGGCTCTTGTTGCAGTCCAGTTTTTTCTACGGAACTAACTTGCTTGTTATCCACACTACCTTCTTGGTTTCCTTGTATTTTGTTACCAGTTTGTGCTATCTTTAAAGCTAGTGAATACATATGAGCAGGAATGAAGTAAGGCACCAAACGTCCATCAGGCTGACGTACATGAATCTTGCACACTTTACCCTGAGCACCATTGACATTACTACCTTTTGCAACTGATGCACATTCCTTACTTTGCGGTTCAACTATTTCTGATTTTCTTGGTAAATGCATTGCACTACTTGTTTGTGGCTTTTTATCATGATCTGCAATTTCTGCAACTGACTCATGGGATAAGATATTTTTGCCAGATGCACTTGATGTGCATGTAACCTTATTCAGTCCCTCTGTCTTATCAACAGTTTCTTGTAGCATATCTTCAGTTTTTGCATCTGAACCAGTTTTAGTACTATGCATAACAGTAATATTTTCTTCAACTTTATGTGATACAACACCCACTGCAAGTTCCTTTTCAAGACTTGCAGGACAATTCTCTTCTTCTTCTGATGCACCAAGTGAAGGTTCCATCTTTGTTTGAACAGCATTCTTATCTTGGTCATAGACCCAGATATCATACCAATTCTCCTGACCTATTGAGAAGTAAAATTGCCATTTCAGTTTCATGCTACAACTTTTTACATGTTCATGTCAATATGGCAGCAAGGAGAACCATCAGCACTTTTAATCAGTTTTTCAATATACTTGAGAGAGAGAAAGAAAGTGAGAGAGAGAGAGAGAGAGATAGAGAGAGAGAGAGAGAGAGAGAGAGAGAGAGAGAGAGAGAGAGAGAGAGAGAGAGAGAGAGAGAGAGAGAGAGAGAGAGAGAGAGAGAGAGTACTGGATAAAAAGAGATCTTACCAAGTCGCCACAACCCAGTGAGAGCAAGGGGATCATCAGCCTGGCTGAGTGTAAGGGGGTGGAGGAGCTTCACTTGCTTGTTACGGCTGTCTGCAAACTTCAACACAATTTGGATCTTGAATTCACCCCATCCCCTGCGACTTAAAACAAAAGGAGGATGCCTGGAAAATGGAAAGTTCACTTTAAAGATACTACAAAAGAATCTTTCAATTTTTTTTATTAAGTTTTTAATCTTATTACATTCTAGTTTTATATCCTGTTCCTACAGGTAATATGCAGTTTATCACCACGTAATGCAATCAAATAAATTAATCAAATAATTATGAAAGGAAAAAAGTTTGATTCCTCACTTTAGTGTAATAATATGGTGTGGAGCATAACTCTGATCAAGAATGAACGTTACAGCAGAAATAAACGATGAAACATCATCAGCCTGTGTTGGTGCACGTACATACACCTGCCACTTGTACCGAAGTGCATCTCCAGCTTCATTACTTGCATGAGGCGGTAAATACTGGTATGTATTTCCCACAACAACCCTGAGAAACAAAATATGGATACTGTTAAGTACCTAAAACAGACATATACCAAATATACTGCGCATGAGGGTGGATGAGTAAGACAAAATACTGTATGCACAAGAATTAAAGATCCACAAATTTTATAGTTATATATCACTGGAAGCTGGGAGATTAGATTATATAAAATATTGGCAAAATTCCAGAAAATACCTTTTCTTAGCCTGAAATCGCTGGTGACGACCCTGTGCAATGGTTTGAGGATTATCTGGAGGCTTTGGAGGTAAGTATTTAGGACTGGGAGGTCGAGAAGATACAGAGTCTTCATTCTTCACTGATTCACTTCTGCCTTCCTCCTGCACCTGGGGCTTGGAATCTGCATGAACCTCAGTCTTGACTCTGACCATTAGATGATCTTGACATCTTTCCTTAGATTCTACATTAGGCTCCTTTTTCACACCGTCTGCGATAGTTCTCGATTGGCCGAAATCTGCGGATCCCTCTTCCGATGCACTCTGACCAGCAGAGAAACTTTTAGAGAGAAAACCGCCGTTGGCTTCTTGTGAAGAATGACTTCTCGGTGTCTTCCCAAGATGTCTCCTTACTGATGGATGAATCTCCAGATTCTTTGGTGTACTGATTGCTTCAGCATTCTAATAAGGAGCAGCAAAAATAACAATTAATAAATTATCAAATTATATTTCCCTCATTGGTTAATCATTACTGTAATAGCAAAAGCAATAGCATTTATATTATAACAATATATTTTATACCACAAATATCTGTAAGTGCAATGTGAGCATATATGAATTCATATATACAATCACACACACACACACAAGCATATGTGCGCACGCGCACACACACACACACACACACACACACACACACACACACACACACACACACACACACACACACACACACACACACACACACACACACACATACACACACACACACACACACACACACACACACACACACACACACACACACACACACACACACACACACACACACACAGAGTTCAATATTCCTTTTCAACTTGTCTTTTTTATATACACCTTACCTTGTTTACAGCAAAATAATTGAGTGAAACACAATATCGTAAAGTGTGTAGGCACTGTTGAAGCCGTAAGATGCGATTGTCTATTTCTTCCAATTCATTCTGTTTTTCATTTATTGAATAGGTGAATTCTCTATCGACTACTTTTATCACTCGTCCACTGAGTTCATCTTGTGCTGTTAATAGAAAAAAAAGTTTTGATGAAACTATAAAAATGACATATATACAGGTAGATTAACTTTTTTTTAAAGGATATATTTTAAAGATTTAAAAAAATAAAAAAATAAAAAATAAATAAATATTCAGGTAAAGCTAACCTTTCTTCTCCATCTCTCTCATCCGCTTTGCATCTGGAGGTCGGGCATAGTCAGGGTCCTCTGTGCTAAGCATTCTCTTCGAACACAACACCTGCGATCCTCCTCCGTAGTCCCCATCTTCCATCTTCTGTGGATCTTCACTCGTTTCACTCCCCTCTGGTGTATCAGCCAACATCTGCTTGAAGATTTACCAAACATAGAAAATACAGTGTATAGCAGCAACTGTAAATCCTTTAAATCACATAATCAAATCTAAGGTAATTTATCAGATTCTGAAATTTGGCCAGAGGGTATTCAAGTTCAACTTAGTTTCATAATTTGTACCATACGCTCATATGTTTATACAAACAACCCAAAAAGTACTCTCTCTCTCTTTCCACCCTTCTCTTAAGCATGACTTCAAGCATAGTCAAAATAGAGTGAATAACTGAGGCTCATAAAACAACCAATAAAATATAGTACAGGAGGAGAAGGGAGAAGAAACAGAAAGAGGAGAATATGGAGGAGGAAGTAGAAGAAGAGGAGGAGGAGGAGGAGGAGGAGGAGGAGGAGGAGGAGGAGGAGGAGGAGGAGGAGGAGGAGGAGGAGGAGGAGGAGGAGGAGGACGACGACGACGACAAGGACGACAAGGACGACAAGGACGACAAGGACGATGAGGATGAGGAGGAGGTGGAGGAGGAAGTGACAAAAGAGGAAGAAGAAAACAAGCAATTAGATTAAGAGGAGGAGGAAAATGAGGATGGGAAGAGAGGGGAAGGGAGGGGAAGAGGAGGGGGAGGAGGATGAAGAGAAGAAATAGGAATAGAAAAAAGAGAAGGAAGGAGGGAGAGAGGGAGGGAGGAAGGGAGAGGGGAGGAAAGAGGAAGAAGAAGGGAAGAAAAGGAAAAAAGGAGTAGGGTAAGGGAAGGAACAGAGAAGAAAAAGGTAAGGGGGGAAGAAGGTAAGGATGAGGAGATTGAAGTGAGGGCAAAGGGAAGGAGTACAAGGAGGAGAGGAGGAGGAGGAGGAGGAGGAGGAGGAGGAGGAGGAGGAGGAGGAGGAGGAGGAGGAGGAGGGGGAGGAGGAGGAGGGGGAGGAGGAGGAGGAAGAGGAAAAGGAGAAAGAGGAGAAGAGGAAGAGAAAGGGGAGGAGGAAGAGGAAGAGGAAGAGGAGGAGGAGGAGAAGGAGAAGAGGAGGAGGAATGAGGAGAAGGAGAATGAAATTAGGAGGAAGAAGAGGAGAGGAGGAGGAAGAGGAAAAGGAGGAGGAGGAGGAGAAGAGGAAGAGGAGGAGGAGGAGGATGAGGAGGAGGAGGAAAGGAGGAGGAGGAAGGAGGAGGAGGAAGAGGAGGAGGAGGAGGAGGAGGAGGAGGAGGAGGAGGAGGAGGAGGAGGAGGAGGAGGAGGAGGAGGAGAGGAGGAGGAGGAGAAGAAGAGGAGAAGAGGAAGAGAAAGGGGAGGAGGAAGAGGAAGAGGAGAGGAGGAGGAGGAAGAGGAGGAAGAGGAGGAAGAGGAGAAGAAAGAGGAGGAGGAGGAGGAGAGGAGGAGGAGGAGGAGGAGGAGGAGAGGACGAGGAGGAGGAGGAGGAAAGGAGGAGGAGGAGGAGGAGGAGGAGGAGGAGGAGGAGCGAGGAGGAGGAGAGGAAGAGGAGGAGAATGAAATGAGGAGGAGGAGGAGGAGGAGGAGGAGGAGGAGGGGAGGAGGAGGAGAGGAAGAGGAGAGGAGGAGAATGAAAGAGGAGGAGGAGGAAGAAGGAAAGAGGATGAGGAGCAGAAAAGGAAAGAAGAGGAAGATGAGAAGAAGGAGGAGGAAGAAGAGGAGGAGGAGGAAGAAGAGGAGGAGGAAGAAGAGGAGGAGGAAGAAGAGGAGGAGGAGGAGGAGGAGGAGGAGGAGGAGGAGGAGGAGGAGGATGAGGAGGAGGAGGAGGAGGAGGAGGAGGAGGAGAAGAAGAGGAGGAGGAGAGAAGAAGAAGAAGAGGAGGAGGAGAGAAGAAGAAGAGGAGGAGGTGGAGGAGGAAAAGGAAGAGGTGGAGGAAAAGGAGGAAGAAGAGGAGAGGAGGAGGAGAAGGAGGAGGAGGAAGAGAAGGAGAAGGAGGAGGAGGAAGATGAAGAGGAGGAGGAAGAGGAGAAGAGGAAGAGGAGGATAAGAGGAGGAGGAGGAGGAAGAGGAGGAAGAGGAGGAGAAGAGAAGGAGGAGGAGGAGGAGGAGGAGGAGGGAGGAGGAGGAGGAGGAGGAGGAGAGGGAGGAAGAGGAGAGGAGGAGGAAGAGGAGAAGAGGAGAGGAGGAGAGGAGGAGAGGAGGAAGAGAGGAGGAGGAGGAGGAGGAGGAGGAGGAGGAGGAGGAGGAGGAGGAGGAGGAGAGGAGGAGGAGAGGAGAGGAGGAGAGGAGAGGAGGAGAGGAGAGGAGGAGGAGAGGAGAGGAGGAGGAGGAAGAGGAGGAGGAGGAGGAGGAGGAGGAGGAGGAGGAGGAGTTGAAAGAGAAGGAGAAGGAAGAGGATAAAAATGAAGAGGAGGAAGAGGAAGAGGAGAAAGAGGAAGAGGAGGAAGAAGGAAAGAGGATGAGGAGCAGAAAAGGAAAGAAGAGGAAGATGAGAAGAAGGAGGAGGAAGAGAAGGAGAAGGAAGAGGATAAAAATGAGAAAACAGGACACAAGGACAAGTAGGGAGAGTAGGTAAAGAGAAAACTGTAGAGTAGGAGGGCGAGGAGGAAGAAAAAGAGGGTATAGTTGATGTAGATGAGGATCAAGATGAAAAGGAGGAGGAAAAAAAGCAAGGGGGAAGGAGAAATATAAGTGAAGGATTTAGGAGAAAATGGGAAAGATGGGTATAGGAGAAGAAAAAGAAGCCAAAAAGGCAAAGAAAAAGAAAAGGAAATATTACGTAGACAAGAAAGAAAGAGTACTAACAAGATCATTTTCTATTACTGTCTGCATTCACACGAATATATTGGCATCATCCATTATCTGTTTTCATACACAATTCTCTTTCTATGAGTATGTCTCTTGACATAGAAGATATGTACACAGACTTGTATATCCCCCTAAATGATGAATTTCTATTTTGCTCAAACCTTCTGGCTGGTATATAGAAAAGCAATTATATACTTTAACATTATGAACAAGATGGGCCTTGAGGGCATTCACTTTAGAGGCCTATACTGTTACACTTCATTGTCATCAAGTTAATAAGTTGTTGTTTTATTCAGTACTAGCCACTTGAGAAGTTATCCAAGTATTTCACTATTGTCTTCACACTAATAAAAAGGAATTATCATTTGCTCAAGCCTGATACTCAAATTAAACAGGTTTTGGTGTAAAATCTCAACAGTGACTGAATTTAATGTATGTCATAAAAAGCAAATCCATCTCTGTAAACCTTCTGTAATTCATATTATCAGGAATTAAACTTGACTAGGCAACATTTCCCTTGCATAAGCGAAAATGCAATATACAATTACAGTGAAACTAGCCACAGATTCAAGGTCAAGATATGACATTTTAAGAAATCTTATGATTTATTTAAAGTGTATTTGTTAGACCTGAATCTGAACATATATCGGGGATCGTGTCATGCCTTTTCTACTTAGAAATAGTAATACACCATAAATAAGTAGGGCATCACACACTCATACTCCTTATTCATATTTTGTCTCTATCTTCCTAAATCATTGGCGTAAAACACATGTGAATAAAGCCATAAGACGAAACTATTCCTCATAAGCAACAAACGACATTCAGTAACAATGTTTGTGTTCATGTTAATCTTAAACAACTAAATTCGCATGCAGTTACAATGACCTTGCCTCCTAATACATTGATAACTTTCTTCCAGAACAACCACAAATCTGTCTATAATAAATCATACATTATCATCTAATCTCAGACCTGTATCACAAGCTCAAATAACTTGTAATAACCACGTAAATATTAATTACAAAAAAACATGATCAGCTGATAAATTGAAACCAATTCTACAGACGAGCCAATGGTGTGGTGGGCGTATGTACTCTTTTATTTTACTGCTCACCGCGTTTTTATCAAATATTGTCGATTCTCCTTCCGTGTCATTCATGTTTGGTGACTCTTATATCTAGCATCAGCGTCCTTAGAGAATCCTTAGAAGAATCCTTAGAGAATCCCCATTAATTTCACTCCCCGGTAAACACATGGCAACACCAGGCTGAAGCTACACCGAGGTCATGCACTTGTTTGTAAGACGTGTATTACCGCGCCCATGTGGGGGGGAACGATACGCGCAGTATGAAAGTAGATTATTAATGGCGGGATTAGTTATAGAGAATTCATGTAATATTGCTTAATTCAAGATAAACTAATAATGTAATATATATAGGTATTAATGTTAAAACTCTATTAAAACGTGGTCTGATTCTTTGGAATAGTAAAATCAGACACATTAGTTTCAACAACTGAATTGTCGAATGGTCAAGGCAATTAATATATAATTCCGGCAATTTATCTTCATAAATTAACAAAGGTAGTAAGTGTCTTGACCCCATATTCTCGGAGTCAAAACAAACAGAGTTGCCAATTAGGGTTTTACAATATTTGGTCTAATTACGTCTTAATTCCCTTCGAATCTTCCAGTGATATTAATAGAATGCATAAAGACATTTTAAATTGTCTGTCTATTATTCGATGGTTTTAAGATAAAAGGATCTTTCTTGAAAAGACAAGAAACCGTTTTCTTTCCGTGTCCAGGTGACAGAAAATGGGAATCGATGTAAACAAAGGCAGATTTGAGGCGAAATTGTAGACCTCAAAAGTCTAAAACCCTATAATAGAAAAAGGAGAAAAAGAAGAAGAAGAAACAGGATGACATTCCGAGAAACATGGTCTAGGGAATATAGACATAAATAGTCTAAAACCCTATGAAAGAAGAAAGAAGAAACTGGACGACGGGCAGATTTGTTCACGTTTGTAGGATAGGTATGGCGTTTTTTTTTGTTTTTTTTTTTATCTGAGTTTGTCTGATTTGGAACTGGACCCTTACTTTCCTTTTTATTTCGACTGAAATGTATATACTGCATTCACTTCATTATGTGAATATATTTTTTTTGTGTGTTGCAATCTCTTGCTTTGATTAACATAAATCTTTTAATTTTATTGATTATTATTTTGCCCTTGTTTTAGAAATTATCAATTTAACTTGTATTAAGAGAACAATAGTTGTATGTACTCTTGATCTGACAGAAAATGGTTGAAATAAATGAGTTAATGAAATTAATGTCAAAATATAAGACTTTGTCTCTGAGCGGTGATATACAGTGGATATTTTTATGATTTCATGGTAAATATGAAGTACCTGCAGCTGTACCTGTGATGATTATTACTCTATTTCTTATGCTCTATAAGATGGCAGGGTCCATACCTAACCTATTACTTGTTTTATATATTTTTTTAGAAATATGGATTTTTTATATTGGCATTTGTATTTCTTAATAACATTATGATAATCATATTGTCGGTAATATAATAACAGCATCAGTGTTGATAGTATTAAAAGAAAAGAAAAGAGGGAAAATGTAATCAGGTGAGGTCATGGCTGGACACTTTGTGGAGCTATCTGTGTGTAAATATATTTGATAAAACTAAACTACAGTGATATTACATATTCTCAGCAACTTAGGGTGAAATTATAAAATATTTGGGGGTCATACCATATTGTTCAGTGTTTCTGTGCACATTTCAGAGCTTCTTATCTAGCTTCAACTCATTCATTTGCTCTTTTATTTGATTTTTAAGCTTTTACAACCGTATCACAATGAAGTGTAGTATTTTAGTTTACAGTTGACAAAATTCCAAATTGACTGGTGAATACTTTATCAATTTATTGCTTAGAAAAAGGAAAAGGTAAATGTTTTATATAAGGCAAAAAAAAAAATAATAATAAAAAATAATAAACATTGTATGCTTCACAGGAGTATTTTGCAGGTATTGCAAGCAAAATCAGTCATGTGACTAACTACAAACTGCTTTGAATATATGGACATGGCTGAGCAGAGAGATATAGAAAATCATGCAGTTCTATATTTGTCTTCATCAAGTGAAGATGAAAATTTAACAGAGATCCCCAAAGGAGTGAATCATAAAAATAAGGAATTACCTCTAAGGGAAAAAATAGGAATTTATAAACGGGGTAGATTTTGTTCATCTAGAAAGAGGGCATTATGGTGTGAAGAAGAGACTATAGAACCCTGCAATAGTCCACAAAATACATGTGACAGTGACCATGTTGAGGAATTTGAAGACCAAGATGATATGGATTTCTTAGAAAGTGAAGAGTCTTTTGTACAAGATGATGAGGCTGAAGAACAGTTCAGCAGTAATTTTGGAGGTGAGCATGTTTGTATGTATATTAAAAACAACAACTAAGTGTTAGTCTGTTGATGCCTATGTATACATGCTATTGATTTTGTTTACACATAGCTCCAAAAGCTTAGAAGCCAAATATATACCAGGCCTAGAAGAAGTCACATGTTTACCCTATGCTTTGCGTTCTCAGAAAGAAAAGTTTTAATTTTTTCACATTTATTATTATTAATAATATTATAATGGTTGTGTTGATAATAATGATAATAACATCATTAACAATAAAAATAGCAATTGTATTAAGTAGGCCTAATTGACTCCTTTGTGATTAAGCACTCATGGAGTCATCTGTGTTTCAACAAAACTGACAAAACCAAACTACAGTGGACAGTCTTGTACCCAACACCAATGGGTAATTTTCCTATCGCTTAATACCTCTTTAATTCAGAAATATTACTATAATAGTGCTCACTTTTAATGGAAACCTTTTGAATGCCTTTTTCAGTAATAACAGGAAGACATGGTCGTAATCATTCTTTCATTAATGATGTCAACCAAGAAAAGACACTACCCCTTGGGAGAAAGACTATAATATATGGTCAAACTCCAGTTGCCATCCGGAAGTATGTTATAATTGTTTATATGTAATATAAGATTAATGCCATTGCAGTTTCAAACTTTATTTTGAAACTACATATATATGTATATATATATGTATATATATATGTATATATATATGTATATATGTATATATATATTATATATATATATATATTATATATATATATATATTATATATATATATATATATATTATATATATATATATATATTATATATATATATATATATATTATATATATATATATATATATATATATATATATATATATATATATATATATATATATATATATATATATATATTATATATATATATATATATATATATATATATATATATATATATATATATATATATATATATATATATATATATATATATATATATATATATTATATATATATATATATATATATATATATATATATATATATATATATATATATATATATATATATATATATATATATATGTATGTGTGTGTGTGTGTGTGTGTGTGTGTGTGTGTGTGTGTGTGTGTAAGTATATATATAAGTATGTAAGTATGTATGTATGTATGTATGCATGTATGTATGCATGTATGGATATATGTATTTAATCATACAATATTTAGATTTTCAGATCTCAGTAAATTAGCATAGCATGAGTGAGAAAGTATATATATATTTAAGTGATTGTGTGTGTGTGTGTGTGTGTGTGTGTGTGTGTGTGTGTGTGTGTGTGTGTGTGTGTGTGTGTGTGTGTGTGTGTGTGTGTGTGTGTAATATATATATATTTATATGTAAATATATATATATATATATATATATATATATATATATATATATATATATATAAAATAAAATGTATGAATGCACGTAAGTACATATTTATACAAATTTTTGATTTTCAGATCCCAACTAATTGACATGGCACGAGCAAGTGGAATGGCTGTGGAGGACTTTGCAAAATTTATTTTAAAAAGCAATGCACAACAGAAATTAGAATGTTTACGTTTGTATCATACATCAAAATTACAACAGTTGTCACATCTCTTTGATGAATTAGATACATGTCTAGAAAGGAGTGTGAATGAAATAAGAATTGCTAGTCATTGCAGTACTTCGACAAATGGTAACTCTAATGAGGTGAGAATGGAAAGTAAGGCAGGTAATGTGTCTAGTGATATACATTCAACCAAAAGGGGAATGAGAAAAAAAGGTGATGCAGGGTCTAGCATCAGAATACAAAAGGAATATGATAAAAGAAACAATCCTCTCTATAATCCAGAAAATACAGGAAGGGAAAAGCCAGTAAGGAAAAATCAAGTGACCGTAATATCTGATACTGACAGTGATCAGAGTGATGCAGAGTACATTCAGCCATCACCAGAGTCATGTTATTCACAAAAAGAATTGCAAAGACAGTTAGATATAGTGCCTAGTGCAAACAATAAAGACACACATAACCAGCATTTCAAAAAAGGCTTAGGACAACTTCCAACAAAATGTTTATTAGGGACACCACCTAGCAGTAGTTCTGCCAGTACAGTAAGCAGTTTGTTTGACCCATTAATTGGAAAACATATTGCTCATTCTAGTTTCCCTGAGGGCTCTAAGCAAACTCTTAACATTACTGATACCGGTGATTATAATCAGTTCCTGGACACGCTTTTTGATAGTACATCCTCAAATAACGTAGAAAGCAATAGTATGTCAAAGAGATATAACACCATATCACACTGCCATAATTCTTACCATGGCATAAATAATGGTTATCAGGAAAATGAAGACTGCAATAAAGTATTAGACACAATTCTATTTGGGGAATCTCCATGTTCAACACAGTCACAATATCCATGTGGTAATTCTGAATATAAAAATCTTGATAATAGAAAAGAAGCTAGCAGCAATTTAGATTTGAAAAGCACTAATATAACAACCAAATCCAACACACAAGAAAATGCAGAAGAGCTAAACAAGAGGGATAAAAGGCCTACAGATATCATTCCTTCATCATTTGAACTTGGTCATTCACCATGGGGAACTCTTGAACAACTTTTTGATGATTAAGAGTCATTTTTGAAACTGAGCTCAAGATGTTTGAATACCATCTAAAAATACTCCTTAAGCAATATTTTCACCTTAGCATATGATTTAAATGCCTGGCATGGATTTATATGGACAAGGGTCCTAACCCACAGGAGGGGGTGTGGCAACATAGAATAAAGGTGAATATCCACTGAA